ATATGATCCGAAAACCGTATTTAATAAGGGTAGTTGAGCTCATGTAGTCAAGTTTTTCATGACATCTTCATTGGCTCTCATGCAAGGTGGACCTCACCCCTTTGTATTTTCTTGGCAAGTTAGATTAAATTTAATGTTCTTCACCTCATGTGCTTGACTTCCTACACACACAACCACACAAAGTCGCATGGTTTTGACTTTGACCACCACAAAATTGGGGTAGGAGCTCCCCTATAACAGTTATTCTCTGTCGGGGACAGTTCAAATAGTAATAAAAATAAATTATAAATTCAGATATTATGAATTTGAGTCAGGTTATGAGAGATTTATCCCTCATGAATACTCTAATTCTCGCGTGAATGACTTACTTTTGACTGAATCGAAAAAAAAATAAGTAAATATGTGTAAACTAATTCAAACACCTTTTAACCATTGAAGCAAATAAAAAAAAAATTGTTACTCTCAAAATGACATCGTCTTGAGCGTGAACTGAACAGCACATAGTGTTATACAACAAAGAATCTCTGCCCGTAGCATAAAAAAAATTATCGTTTTGAGAGCAGAATATGGTGTTGTACAAAAAAGAATCTGTCTGCAAATTTACATATACCCTGCTATAGCTAACTTGAAGGTTATAGGATCACATAAGGTGAACTTTATTCTAACAAGTGTTATCATTATTTTTACTAGACCTTGGACTTTGCTGATATCATTTGGTTATTATGACCAGAAAGTGTCTTAGAGCCTAATATAATAGTAGTGTAGCTAAATTTGTTTGGTATTTTTTTTTTCTAACACATCAACAAATGTCCGATGGAGGGGGAGTTGGGGATAGAAATTAAACCCATGACCTTCGTATCACAAGTGGCAGTGGCCAATTTACACAGGGGGGCAGTTGCCGGGCAATGGGGGCTTTGCCTCCTAGTGTAATTTAAAATTTTTTTTTGGGTAGTTTTGAAATATTTATGAATTTATAATTATTTATCGATATTTCAATTACAACTTTTAGGTATACAAATTTAAACTAATTTAACGATGTGGTCTTAAAGACTAAATTTAAGTATTTTAGCATTTTTACTGTCGTGTCATTAGGTCAACAATTTAAAATTATTTTTTAGACCCCAATAACACTATTTCTTATTAGTAAAAAAATATAATTCTTTCATTAATTGAAAATTTAGAGTTATGCTTCTTTCACACGATTCAGTGTCACCACCCTTCTCTTCAATATCTTTTTTGTCTTTATTTCTCTCTTTGTCTTACACAGCAAGTGACCAATTTTTACCATCCAAAATTTATTTTTGAAATCACGGCGGGTTTGATGATTGCTATTTGACTGTTCTTTTTAATTTTCTCTCTGTTCTCGTAAAAATTGGATTTTTAATTGAGTAATGCTATTAAAACATAATTTAAAAATTTAATGATTGTAATAATTGAATTGTCAGTAGGTCTTAATATTGAATACGTCTCCCCACTATCAATTCAATGATCTTAATGTATTAAGTCTCCAAATTCTGTTCGTAAATTTAATTTTTATTTTTTTAAAAATTAAATTCTTATATTTTAAATTAGACTGGAATAAACTATATTTTAAAATAAATTATTAATTAATTTTATAAATAACTAATAAGTTGATCCTACTGCAAAAAGTTTGACTCAGCCCCCCCGACAAGTGGGGGCCACACACCCAATAGGCCAGACTTTAGTCACATTCATTTAAGTAAAAACTATTTCCAATTTGAGGCGGTGGACGACACTTCCCTTATGGTAAGGGTTGACATCAGGGCTTAACTTGCCGCACCAATCAACGACCACCTTTCCGACTTTTTATTCTTTTAATTAACTTAACGATTGTTTGGCAGTAATTAATGTCGTAACCTTCCTTAAAAGTTTTAATATTACTAATACGACCCTCTTTAATCTAATTTATTCTTTTAATTAATTTAAGGGTTGTTTTGTTGTAATTACTGTCGTAACCTTTCTTAAAAGTTTTAATATTACTAATACGACCTTCTTTAATCTAACATATATATATCTATATATATATCTTTTACCCTGAATGTCATCTTCCACTTATTCAACTTCTCAATTTATTAGGTCTCCCTAATATAATCTCGCCTTCTTAGCTCAGCTTAATAAAGAGTTGCACTTTTTGTAAGATTTGTTATTCTCTTTTTCACGGTCTTAAGAGAAATAAGAAGTCCATTTATCTTGTCTTTAATTGGGGACTCTCCTTACTCTAGAGCTAAACAACCAGAAATTGAGCCAAGCCATGACTGGAAAGAGGGGGGAGGCTCTTGCGGAAATCCTGTCCGCTCTTCTCTATTTTCACAGATCCCTCGTATTGAAAAGACTTTTCGGACTCGTACCAGACAGCTAAGAACAAGAAAAGAGTTTGTGATAAACTCTCTATTCAAAACGTGATATAAATATATCAAAAAATAATGGCTATAGTACAGGGATCAAAATTTCGCTTTAATTCATTATTTCGGTCACTTAACAAAAGAAAATGCTTTAGAAAACAGAATGAAAACAAATAAAATATTTACAAATTTATTTTAGAATTTTTTTAAAAATATTAATCAAAATATACTAAACATCTTCAAACAACTTAAAATAGTCTGAAACATTTATGAAAACTTGTTAAAAGTCGAAACATCTTGAAATATTTTAAACACCTTGAAACATTAAAATTTTGATTCAATAAATGATTCGTTTTCAACAAGTACATTTCTAACCATTTTGACTTCTTTAAAATAGAATTTTGATACTTGATTGGGTATCAATTTAAAATTTTTTTCCTATGTCCTAATCAAACTCATTAAAGAATGCTGTTTTCTCAATTGCCCCATGAACCCCCCCCCCCCCCCCCCCCCC